AAAAGACACTCTGCCTCTCTCGTAACACCTCTACCACCCTGGCGCACCAAATGATCGGTACTTCCACTCTCTGTGAAGAACTCAAAACGACCAACCGCTTTCCATTCAAGGGATGTGTGTGGACAGAATATGAAGCTGAGGTGAAGGAAAGGCGTTGGAAGTTTGTAGTAAAAAACTTCACGGAAGGCCCGGCTTTCACCTGTCACTTCTGGAAAGAAGCGAACCAACCTAACCGCCACCTCATAACGAGATTCACTAGCCACGGTTTTCACCATAAGATATGCAATCGGAAAGATTTTCACGACCCTGAACCCACCTGCGTCTGCCGTCTCTGTNGAACGCACCGCTGGAACGAATTGCGTTCGTTATGCGAGGTACCACTGTAAAGCTTTAACAGTGTCCATTTCGCTTGAAAGTAAATATACTCGATGTAAGATTCCATGCACGGCATTGCAATGAGGGAAGCTAACTTTTGGGTCATTTTGCGAAACGGATGAAAATGCATGATTGAAGGAGAACTATCGAATGAGTCTCTGTTTTTTACGAACAAAGTATAGGCAGAGGCCCTTTCATAATCCAACTGCAACAGGATAATTAGTAGACCTCTCATATGTTTTCTCTCCTATCCATTAGTGCCGCCTAGTCCTCGTCCCATCTTCGAAGTCGCTGTCCGCCAGAAGTAGCATGTCCTCTTATGCACTGTTAGCCGTAGAGATAGGATTGCTCAGCAATATCGACAGCAAGCCCATCGATGAAGAGAGCCTCAAATACATCAATTGGGTCTTCTTCTGTCACCAAAATCTATCAGGAATCCGTTCTGAACGGAAGATTTAAATCGCGGGCGTTCCTCGGCCACGTGGACCCAGTCCAGGTAAGTACATCCCAATCACCACCTCTGTGAATCTCTACGTCTCCGCTTCCGTCGTCTCCACTTTCATCATCTCATGTTTCTTCATATTCTTCTTCCATGGAATCTTCACTCTCGACTCTCGAAAGCATATTTACTAAAGACTAGCGCATTAACTGATTAATGACTAGGTTACCCCTGGGGGCTCCGAATTCTGAAACGCCACCTAGCCTGTGACCATCCCCGGACCACATGAAGAAACCATGCAAAGTTTGGTCGGACTGGGATCAGAGGCGTGACAGTGCATGAAAGACAGACAGATGCACACAAACATTCTGAAATATAAGAATAAAGATAGATACTGTCTCCATGATGCTCGCCATAGAGTTCTCCGCCCACGTGATAATATTGCAGTTAAACAGCTGACAAATCATGCAGAAAATACATCCTGATATTTGACAGCCACATGGAAAGGCTGAAGACGAGAAGCCACATCCTTTCGGAAGGGCGCAGGACACATCCAAGTCACCCCAAGCGAACAATTCCCAGAAACACGGAACCTACTTGCGGAATCGTCTAAAGACGCCCATCTCACCGGTATGCAGTGTTTGCGAACGTCTAAAGACGTCTTCCCCAGTTAAGGGGTTAACATTTCGTGGTATATACTTAAATAGGACGACCATGTTAACACATTGCCTACCGGACATTTTACCCTGTCGATCTTGCCCCTCTGACCAAAGCCTCAGTTGTATTAGCCTAGAGCTTGATGCCTATAAGGCTTTGACTTTTTCGCCATAGGCTGGGCAAAAGGACTCAAAAACGAACATCTCCGTGAGGAGTACGTAATGTGTTAAAGTAATCCGCCCCAAGCCGATTAGGAATGCAAATTTTCTCATAATTCGTACTGGAGTTAATAGATACGAACCAAAAGTCAATTTGAAACTGCGTAATGTACCCCCGCCCTGGATTAAGTTACATATAAATATACTCAAAGAAAATAGTAATGGGCATCCCATGTGAAATGAACACAGCCATTTACCCCACCCTCTCTCCTATTTCCATGAAATTTACTGAACCGGTGGGAGCTATTTAAAAACAATTCCATTCCGAATTGCAGCTCTCTACGTGAAGCACTTCCAGAGATGTAGCAATTTGAAAGTAGCAAAAGTGGTCAAGTCCTCATCGCTTAAGTGCGCATGACTTTTGTTCTAATAAACATAGAAAGCTAATATTGGTATCATTTTAAAGGTATCTTAATGCCCTTTCAAATAATATTTCAATCAAGAACATGCAATTAAAGTAAAGGTCAAAAGGTCTGACCTATCACCTTTAATTACAGAAAAAACCTTTTCATTTCCTTTCAAAAATTACCTTTCTATTATCAATTCTTCCTGCATTAGTGCTCGAAATATGAACTTGGGACTGCCATGGGATCAGGATATACCAACAATAATGTAGCAGGAAGCTTGACCCAAAATTGGCCGCTTTTTACTACTTTCAAACTGCTACATCTCCGGAAGTACTTGCAGTAGAGATCTGGAAATTTACATGTGATGGTTTTTCTATAGCCCCAACAAGTTCGGCTAATTTCATGGAAGTCGAATGGGGATCAAGTCAATATTTGATTTCTTTTGTGTTGATTTGACATGGATTGACCGGGAAGCTCCTTTCCCCTTTGGGTGTGGAGAAATAAGGAGGCATGTAATTTTTTAAATCCGATTTCAGAATGCGCAATTTTTTCCAACCGAGCGGCCATACTTGGGGCCTTTCGGAGGCGGACGCAAATAATTGATTGATGTCTTTTTTTGGACGACCGAGAGTTTCTTGCCGACAAAACGAAACTGCACGGTTCTCCGTACTTGAGGAAATTCGGAAGGCGAAAGTCCCGCGATCAAATATAAAACGATTGATGAAAGCTCAACTTCGCAGCGTGATCTCTGCTCCCAAGCGAAGGAGATATTTCCATTTGCAACATGAGTTTCTCTCAAGGGAAATAGAGTATCCCATCGGATTGCTTTCTTTTCCCGAATGGTTTCACTGTGAAAGGGCAGCGTCCTAAGCCAGAAGAGGAAAATAAAAGAGAGAACCGCCCTGGAGACTTTTCCTTCGTGGAATCCGGCTAGCAAATGGACCCCGTTGGACTCCCAACCCTCTTCGCTCGTTGACGTGACGTGGTATCCCCGTCGCGTCGTCGTAGCAACGTCGCTCCTTCGATTCTCGAAGTGGGTGTGAATGCTCGATGGGATGATGTGTTAGTCCGTGAATAGAATCTCGTCAATCGAGGAACATGTCCTCTCTGTCGTAGAAACCTGCATACCACCATGCCTGATCCCAGCCAACAGACCGGGAAAAGGATGTCTATCGCAGGCTTATCTCTACCTCCAATAAGTTTCCTTGTAGGTTCTAGTAGGGAGTTGAAATCCAGGGGGAAATTGACTCCAGAATACTCGAGGTTTCGAACGACCGGCATATCTGGTCCTTCTGCTGAAATCGATTGCCGTGGAGAACCTTAAGAGGACCGAAAGGCTACCTGGCAGATTGGCCCAAATACAATATATGACAAACCCTGATGGAGTACGCTTTTTTATGCTAACGATGGACACAATCCAAGAATCCAATGGACCGATTTCATTTGCTGCAGATACTTCAATCGTGAATAATGCAGCATTGAATGAATGTTGGCCCAATGTGGGCGTATAAATGGTGACGGTCACCGTGTTGAATCAACGTTGACGTCACATGGATGCAACCGTCAACATCGATTCAACGTCTCGTTCCAAACACGTCGGCGACTACATCGGGAAGGGAAAAAAAGCCAGACTTGGTCGGATTCGGAACCCCTGCTCTCCGTCGCGTGAGAGTAACGTGCTCTCGAGCTCGCCACTGGACCCTGAACTTCGCAGATGTAACTCGGCGGTGGCCCACCGAGTTTTAGTTGCAACACGACGAAAGTGTGACGCAGAACTTTTCGACATTTAACGTTTTCCATCAATTTTTTCTCTCGCATCTGAAGCAAGGGGAAAGAGCTCCCAGACCGGGAGCCTCTAAAAGTGTCCACGTTTCATCTCTACCATCTCAAATGGGAAAAGCAAAAAATAGAAAAATGAACTTCCTCCAATAGCCGATAACATTGAATCAACATGGATCGAGTGCTGCTTCAACGTCTGGATAATGATCGACTTGGTAGGTGCTGCTAGGGTTACCGATGAAGTCAGGGGGCTTGATAGCTCCCTTAAAAGCAAAGAAACCTTTTTCTGGCGAAAAAATTACCGCGGTGACCCTCGGCGGCCCTGTGACCCATCAGTCACAGGGTCACTAAACTCCTCGTCCATGTGCCCCACCTCCAGGAAACTTAAGTTTAAAGTTGAGGGTCAGGGGTCACACCGAAGTAGTCTCACGATACACTTTCGTTTATTAGTAAAGTAAAAGCCTAAATTTGAACTTAATCCTGATAAATAAACTTTGAAATTAATCGATTTCTTAGCTTTAAAAAAAAAACAAGAAATATGTGATTTCTATTGAATCTCCTAATTTTCCATTTCTGTTGAGACAACTCCACCACCCAGTCAAAAATTTTCGTTGGTTTATCGTCGGGCCATAGCTGGGGAAGTTGGCTTATATTCGGCGAATGATTGGCTGGCCAGCTCACACTTGTGAGTTGGCCAGTCAGCTATAGGCCGACGATGGACCAACGAAAACTTTTCATTTTCAATATGTGCAGGTAATCTGGCTGAGAAGGTTCGGAAAGTCAGCGTGAGATGGAGGGAAAGTGGTCATAGTAGGGAGTCACTTCCCAGTTTCTACTGAAATGAGTCCTTTATTTATTTGACACAGTTCTATATGGGTTTCTCACAGATCTATCAACTTCGGCGTGAGAACTTGAGATAGGTGTGGCTCATTAAGTCTGCATTCATTGCTTCTTCCCTGACGTTTTTCAGGCTAGATTGAATATTCATGAGTCACAGAGAATATGGTTTTGTGTTCACCAATAAATGTTATGAGCACGCTAATATGAATCTCGTGGGAAAACTGGAGAAGGTGGTAAGGGTACGCAGGACTATGGCAGCACTGTTAGCCGGATGTGCATGGGCATGGACACTTCCGCCAAGTTTGTGCGGCGGAATGGTTATCGCTGGACTTCGTACAAAGTGGAATGTATATGGTGAGTGTTCACTATGTCGTGTGGAAAAATGACTCTACTCTACTTTATAGTTCGTCAGTTATAATTTATCTTGAAAGTGGAAGATACCGTTATTATAGGCCTATAAGCCCAGTCTCAATGGACCTGGTCTTTTGCCAGTGACTTTTTTAATATAAGCTTTTTGATAAGCCTATTTCTTCATAAGACTCATTAAGAGTTTTGGATTTCTGTAATTCATAAAAACTCTTGCTTGGATTAAGCATTAGGCTTGCCTAAATTTGGTCTATCGTTAGGCTAGCCTAGGCTACTGGCAGGAACAATATTTAAAATGAAACGTATTACACTGCTGTAATTTCACACCAGGAGAACTCATTGTGACAAAGAGTGCTGTGTCGATGGCCCCGAAGAGATGCAGGCCTAGGAAGTTCTTTAATGATATTTCCAAAAGACAGAAACATAGGAGAATTATACAATCAGTGGAACATGAATTGATGAAGTATGAGCAAGTGTTGGGTACTACAGATGAATTAAAATCACACCAAGCCTGCCTTGAGGAATTTGCTGAGCTGCAGCCAGGGCTAATAACTTCAGACAATGAATTTCTAGAAGAGGATTCTTTTAGTGAAGTTGCATCTGTGTCTCTTCATTCATCAGCACCTCAACTTTCTTCTCTGCAACCTGTTCCCCTTCAGGATCCCCCAACCATTGAGGAGGCACTTGCTAGGTGGGCCTCTTCAGAAAAGAATGTTCCCAAAGATGCAATTTTCCGTCTCTTATGCGCTCTTCGGCCATTTGCTCCAAGTCTTCCTAAGACAGCTGATACGCTTCTTCATAACCAAATGGTGAATACCATTCCTATGGGCTCTCCTCTCATACAGGTGAAATTATTAACCTAAGGTAGAGAATGATCTGAGGAACTTTCCTTAACCGGACGACCCTTCTGATCCCTCAAGAGAGAACCTCATTTACAACTACCACATGGTAATAAGTTTGGGTCCCCCAATTATTCCACATACCCTATTTTGGTGAAGGTGATGGAGATTCCAACTAAGATCTTGGCAGTTGGAGTTTACTGTTCTAACAAATCCCTGCTGCATGGCATGCCACATCCTTCAACATTTCTCTTTTTTTTCATGGAAGACCTTGCTAAGTTAGCTTCAGTTCCTATGGAATCCTCTATTGGGACCTTTAAGTTCAACTTAGGAGGCCCCTTTATATGTGATGCACCTGTGCGTGCAAATTTAAAGGGCATCGTGAACCATGCAGCCTACAATGCATGTGAAAGGTGTCAACAAGAAGGAGAATACCATGGGGGCCATGTTGCATTGTTGCAACTTCATGCACCATGTCGTACAGATGCTACCTTTGTTAAACACCAAGATGAGTCACATCATTGTTTTGGTGTTTCTTCGCCTCTCCTTGACCTTGGTATAGGGGTAGTTTCTGCATTTGTCCTTGACTACATGCACCTTGTTTGTCTTGGGGTGATGAAGCGATTGCTATCTTGGTGGAAAGGAATTAAACAACACCGTGATATGAGTCTGGGTCGTTTGTCCATCTCAGAGCTTTCCCTTCTCTTACATGAAGTACATGATAGTTTACCACATGATTTTCCTCGTAAGCTTGAAGGGGGAATGGAAAACCTTTCATTCTGGAAAGCCACAGAATTCCGTTTATTTTTGCTCTATGTTGGGCCAGTTGTTCTCCGTCACAAGAAAATTCTGCCTCATGAAAGGTATAGAAACTTCTTGAAGCTATGTGCTGCAATGAGGCTTCTTCTTAGTTCTGGACAAGAGGAAAACATGAACTTCATTAGAGACTTACTCAAAGCCTTTGTGCAGGAAAGTATTCAACTGTATGGTCCTGATTTCATTTCCTACAATGTTCATTCATTAATTCACCTTCCAGATGACTATATTCACTATGGGCCATTGGACAGAATTAGCTCATTTCCATTTGAGAATTTCATAGGCTGTTCAATAAAAGCTGTTGTGAAATCAGGCTATCGGCCTCTTCAGCAAATTGCACGAAGCCTTTCAACGAGTAATGATCTTGCAGGTGAAGATATCTTGTGTTTACATATTGGGGATTTCAAGGTGGGGAAGGAGAGGAAGGATGGACTCATTCCACACACCATTAATGAAACTGGTGTGAAGCATTTTAAGAAATTGACTTATGGTTCTAGTTTCTCAGTGTGTTGTGGTGATGTGAATGATAAGAATGCATGTGTTCTGCTGAAATGTGGGAATATAGGTATTGTTCAAAATATTTTCACTGCTCATTCCACCATCTACATTGTTTTCCAAAAGTTCTTGACTATTGAAAATTTGTTTTCATCTCCATTGGCTTCTAGAAATCTGGGAATTTATCTGGTGTCAAACCTTGGTGTGGTTGAAGTCACTTATGCTGATAAAATTTGTGCAAAATGTGCCTTGTTACCATTCAGGAATAAGCATGTCGCTGTGCAGTTGCTTCATTCAGTTATCCCCTGAAAGGGTTAGGCCCTGCCCTAGTACATATTCCACATAGGCCTAGTTTTTCCACTATGCATTTTGTGTTCATCACATGCATCTTTGTATAGCCTTTTGCTGAAAATAAAGAGAATTTTCCAGGTGAAATCAATTGCCATGAAGAAATTTGTTGCCGTTGAATTCAAGGACAAGACGAATGCTGTAATACCACAAAAGTGGATGCTGAAAGGAGGCAAAAAATGTGCCTGGCCAAATGCTGGTGATGTGGATGTGTTGGTGAGGAATGAGGTCCCTCCAGGGGAAGATTGGAATATTTACAATGTCAAGGTTTTATGCTCATCTGGTAAGTAACATATGCAGATTCCATATACCTGGCCAGCTCAAGCATAAAAATGCATTCATTGTTGTACTGGGTAGTCATATGAGGCCTGTCACTGCTGCTAGCCTGTGGTTAACTATGAATGTAATGATTTATGAGCATCCAGCAACTAGGGTATATACATGTCCATGCAGCTGAATAAATTCCAGCTTTGGGAATGATGAGACTTAAAGTAAGTGTGCTCGTTGTGCTGTTAAAGAATTGTAAGCCAGCTTTAATTCAATTTTGAGAAGTTGTGTTGCAGCATGCAAAATATAGCATGTTTCTTGGCCGTACCACTCCATCTATAACTACTCACGTGTGAATGTATGCCTTTGGTATCTTACTTTACCCCTGTGTGCTCTTTTTAGGTGCATACAAGAAGTGTGTTCAGAGGGCATATTTTGCCACAACAGATGTGAGTTCCACTGAAGTGGAAGGGGTGGAAGGGGATATGCCTATGTTTCCCAGTACCTCAGAATCATCTAAGCAGTTGACATGTCATGGGAGGGACTCAGGAAAACAAAGGACTCCAAGGATTGTCCCAAGATATGAGCCATATGGCAATGAAATAAGCACACAAAGGTAAAGTAGGAATAAAGACACTGATAGAACATAAACCATTCCCTTTTTAGCCATAAGGAATGTAAATTCAAGCTTGTGACTCCTTTTGAGTTGCCTTTACTTTTTACCAGGGAATCATTGGAAAATCTCATGGTGCTGCAAAAACTAGAAAAGGTCCTTTTCCAGCTCAAGGAAAATACCAGATATCTTGAAGCTCTCAGAGCTGACATCCATGATATGAAGAATTTGATGACAAATGAATCTAACCCCAGCCTTATGACAAGCCTCCCAGGACCTGCTTCTACTTTTGAAGAATTACACCAGCTTCTGGATTCACCTGGAATTGTAAGCTGCCTATATTAAATGCAAATACCTAATTGATTCATGGTTACAAGTTGTAATACAGCAATGTGTTGCATATATTAACTTCATATCATGTTGCTTAAGATTGTATTGGCCCCTCCTATCTGAGTGGAAGATTATCTCAATGGATCCACATGGTTGATGTTGAGTCTTTGTGGGTCCTTCTGGGTTCCTTGGGGTCATTTGAACCAGATATTATGGTTTAGGTACCTTTTGCTTTTCAGCACCAATACAGATTGGCAGATTAGTTCCTTGTAGTCTTTGAAAGTAATTGTCCCTTTGCTATTCCCCTATGATTCCCAACTTTTGCTGCATCCTGTGCTTACTGAAGTGAAAATTTTGAGAGTAGTGTGCCAAAACTTTAGAAACTGATCTGGAATGTGTTAATAAAATTCCAAGGCTCTGGCAGCTTTCATCATTTGTCATGCAACATGAAAAAAATTAGTTACAGGTCATTTGATCAGTATCATAGCTCTGAAAATGTTTTGGCTTGAAGCATGGCTATCTGCCATAAACTTCTGCCTTCATTGTGCAGCAAAGTAGTGATATGGGTTATTTTTCAGATTGATGTGCTGTCACAGTGTGAGACACCTATTCTCCGGGAGACTATTCGTTCCATGTTGAAGCGAATAATGGGCAAGAACCTGGCTTCTCAGTTTTCTCTGACTGGATTGGGAAAGGGAAGGAGTAGGACAAAAGCATCCTTCAAAGCTCATAAAGCCTTTCACACTATTATGGGTCAGTCTCCATTCTCCATTTTTTAAAGTACACTCATATAAAATGCTCTTCCATGAGCATTGAGTAATGAATGCCTGTATGACTAAATGATCCTGAATTATGCAAATTACTGGAATATATATATATAGCATATATTGAGTTTTAAATATTGATTATTGTAGGTTTCCATTCTAATGATGGTTGTTTCATTATACGTAGTGGCCAGCCTTTGATTCTGGAATCTGAAGATATGGTTGACATAGTAAACGATACTGATATACTTATTTCTTTGATGAGTGGATTTGAGTGTCCAGGTTGTCTTGAATATTCAGTTACAGAGGACAAGTTCCTGCCATTCAGGATGTCCCATATAGATAGAACCCCCCTCCACAGCCCAAACCAAAAGTGCTACACATATATATGATATAACATTGTAAAGCACATTCATCGACTATTCTAACGACATCTTTATCTTTCCCAGATGGCTTGTGGTGACTCAGAAAAATTGAGATTTGTGGACTGCCTTCGCGCCGTCACTTTCCGAGAAGCGCAAGTTGCGTGTGCTGAGTTTATTAGTTGATCGTGGATCGTTAAAAGGATCAAAAGTTCCGAAAATTTTGTGAAGATTAACTGGATTAACCAGAATGTCTACTGTAGACATTTCACACTCGTGGGGCTTTTATTCCAATTAATCTTTACGAAATTCCCAGACCTTTTGATACTTTTAGTGATCCACGATTGACTAATAAACTCAGCACACGCACCTTGCGCTTCTCGGAAAGTGACGGCGCGAAGGCAGTCCACAAATCTCAATTTTTCTGAGTCACCACAAGCCATCTGGGAAAGATAAAGATGTCGTTAGAATAGTCGATGAATGTGCTTTACAATGTTATATCATATATATGTGTAGCACTTTTGGTTTGGGCTGTGGAGGGGGGCTCTATCTATATGGGACACCCTGTACATCCGATAATGGCCCATGCAGGCTTGAAATTCTGGTGAACTGTTGAACTGTTATTTTAGTGTTGCACATCACTTATGTTTCTCAGTTGCCCTGAAACGCTGTCCCAACTTCATGAAAGTCAAGGAGCTTGAAATCTCCAAAGAAGTGCAAATAATATTGAGAGGTGTGTGTGATTGGTATGGGGGGAGGAAAGAAAGGAGTGGAGCAAAACAGCAGTTCGTGAGTCTTCTTTATTATGCATGGATGCGTAACTGGCTAGTGATGGAATTGTTTTTTGCTGTAAAACCTACTTTGAAAGATTAGTCTGTAAAGTAATATATAATTTTTTTCAATTGAATAATTAGCAATGTCAGACATCAGAAAGTACTTGATTTAACCCATCGTGACTGTAAGGATTTTGATTGCAAAAGGTACTTGTCCTTAATTGTATTCTTTCAGCCCAAAAAAGAGACTGGAGAAGTAATGATGAGAGAGGCACTTCAGGGATGCGGAGAAGAGACAGATACCTCAGTTTCCTCCATTGTGCCATAAAAACCACCCTTTCAATGTGCCACTGATTTGCAATTGTGCAATAAATTACTTGAAACGAGTTGGTTTATCATTGGGTTATCTTTGGGGCCTGTGCGGTTTACCAACAATGAGCCATAGTTGGCCCAATGAAGGACCAACAGGACATGCCCGACTATACGCCGCCTTTAGCCAACTGTAAGCCAACCATCTGCCAATGATGGCCCAGCGGTGGTTTATGTTCGAATCGACTATAAGCCATTGATGGCCCAACGAAAAATTTTTGACTGGGCATGTCTGATGCACCCGAGAAATATTTATTTTTGCGTTCTGCTTTCTGCTTTTCACGGGTCCACAAACTCATGGCTTCCCGTTGGATGGCTTGGCATACTGACCATGTGCTAAATTGTTGAGTTTGCCATTTATAAGCTATTCCTCTTAATCTAGGGGAGGACGGCTTCGTCTCCGATCGGTGCGATAGTTTGCCATGCTGAATGTTTCTTAGTAACTGATTCATTGAACTACGAGCAACATTAAAGAAGTTCGTTACTTCGCCTATATCTAGCCATGTTCAAGTCATGGTTAGGACATGTCTGGACAGGTTGATAGTTGGTAAGTGGCCGCATGAGGCATCGTCACTTTACTTGTTGTTTTTATTCGAGTTCTGACTTGTTAAAGTGAGGTTAAACTCAGCGTCGACATGGAAAATCTGACATTCGTGTTGATGGGAATTTTCCGACGAAGCTTAAGTGGGAAAAGAAGCAGATCCTCGAGGCTCTGCAGAACGTTAAAGGTGACAGTGCTCCATCACGGGTCACAATGTATGACCGGATTCGCCGCTTCAAGGAAGGGGGAGAGAGCCTTGCAGAAGACCCACGCAGTTGTCGACCAGCAACCTCAGTCACTGACGAGAAAATCAATGCCGTGCAAGCCATGGTGGAAGAAGACCGACGAGTCGAGGTGGAGGTGATAGCAGAGACTCTAGGAATATCCGCTCGATCAGTGTATTCTATACTGAAGGAGAAGCTAGGTCTGAGCAAGCCTTGTGCACGTTGGGTACCAAAAACGTGCCGCACAAATCGGAAGAAATCAGAGGGCAGTTTGCAGTGTGGAGTTTTTGAACAAGTTCGACGCTGATCCGGACGCCTTCATGGCTCGAGTTGTTACTAGGGATGAGACCTGGATCTACCTCTGTGATCCTGAGGCTAAGTAACGGTCGAAGCTTCCAACAATCGCAAATGGACACATCAAATTCAAAGTTGAGAAGTCCACTCGTACGAAGTTTATGGCGAGTGTTTTCTGGGATCGTAGTGGATTTCCTCGATGAAGGTAAAAGAGTCACAGGTTTCAACCACGAACAGATACTTGACGAGCCTCGTACAGCTCTACAAGAGAAGTTGGATCAGCGTGTCCTGTTTCACCATGACGAAGCGCCTGCGCACAGGAGCAAACTTTCGAAGAAAAGAAGAAGGCTTGGCCCCGTCCGACTTTTTCCTGTTCCCAAACTGAAGCAGAGTAAGAAGGGGGAAACGCTGGGACTCAATGACCCTTCTAGAGTGCACCATCCTCGACTGGCTTGTGTCCAAAGACACAAGCATCTACAGAGAAGGTATGGAGAGCTGAAGAGAAAGAATGGAGAAATGTTTCAACGTGGAAGGGGACTACGTCGAGAAGCTTCATGCTGCCTAGGTCGTGTATAATGTAAGTGAGATGTAGGAAACTCTTTAAATACCCCTATAAAAATTCTAATGAAAAAATTTTTACATGGAAATAAAAAATGTTTAACTATAGCTATTGTACCTCTACACCTTCCAATTGAAGGTGCGCTAAACCTTTATCTAGTACTGAGCCTTGGATGACAACTTACATCCAAATGTAAACCTCACTTACGATTTAACTGATCAGCCAGGCTGCAAAAGTAGTCCTCCAACACGTCTTCACGCTACAAACGCTCGACCAAGATGACTTCCAACCGCTCGATAATGAACGTTCTTTCATGACTATGAATAGATGCCCTTCCCTCTAGTCTATGGTTAGCAGTATTTAATGGAGAGATCGATGGCAGATGATTGATTATTCCAAGAAAGTCAATAACGATTGGTTGTAGCCCGTCGTCAAGGGTGAAAATTCAAGCGTGCGACCTAGGGTATTGGACTCGCACCGAATGCTTCCTAGGAGCGGCACACAGAGAGCCACTCTTCCGTGTAGAAAACGGACTTTCGACCAGGACTCACCTGGTGCTGCGCCGACTGAACTGTTACAGTTCCGTCCCGGTACAGGGACTGCCATGTCTAATTGCGTTTTCAGGTTTTCTGGTGGAATATGACTACGCCTTTAACGATAAAGGTCCTCCTTCCGAGTGCAATTTAGCACGGGCATATATTGATATCAGGACGGATGGGTGAGGGTTTCCCAAAGCCTTCCTTCCCCCTTCTGTCGAATGACACGATCCATTCCCATTAACACATTCGCATGAAGGAACCATCCGACCTTGAATTCCATTCCCCCGCGGGAGGCCAAGAAGCGTATGCCCTTCTCGGTCATATGCAAGGCGGAAGGGCCTGAGACGATGCGTGCCAGTGTGCTTGTGGATGCGAATCGGTTATAACGATTCGTGCAACGGGCGCATCCGGGTCGGAGACCTTCCATCCATCTTCCCGTTTCAATCAAACATGGCCTAAGATATCGGCGGCAAAAGAATGCCATTCGAATCACGGTCTGGAATATATTTTCGTCTGAGGATCGCCTATGGAATATTTACACACATACGTTTAGGAAAGTCAGTGAAGTCGCCTTCCCACATTTTGCAATCCATATTCGCTGTTAGTCGTAGAGATTGGTTTGCTCAGCAATATCGGCAGCAAAGCCCATCGACGAGGAGAGCCTCACAGGCATGAATAGGGTCTTTTTCTGTCACCAAAATCTGCTGCCAGTGCTGCTAGGGTTACCGATGAAGTCAGGGGGCTTGATAGCTCCCTTAAAAGCAAAGAAACCTTTTTCTAGCGAAAAAATTACCGCGGTGACCCTCGGCGGCCCTATGACCCATCAGTCACAGGGTCACTAAACTCCTCGTCCAGGTGCCCCACCTCCAGGAAACTCAAGTTTAAAGTTGAGGGTCAGGGGTCACACCGAAGCAGTCTCACGATACACTTTCGTTTATTAGTAAAGTAAAAGCCTAAATTTGAACATTTCTTCACGTTGATCGACTCATTAACTTAAAAAAAAAAACAAGAAATGTGTGATTTCTATTGAATCTCCTTTTTCTAATTTTCCGTTTGTGTTGAGGCAACTCCACCATGTTTGATGCACGTGAGAAATAGTCTTTTTTGCGTTAGGCGTCATTTCAGCCAACAGTCTTCCCTAAATCGAGCAATTTTCCTCATCGAAATGCATGGCGAATGGCGAAACTATCAATATTTAGCGAACCCTGATGGAATGCAAAAAAAAATCCCAACGCCGGACAAAGGATTTTCTAACACCGCTATTGAATCCATCGCACCGATCCTGATTTGATGCTGACACTTCCGCCGTGAACAGCGCAGCGTTGAATGCAACGTGACGGTGTGTGACGGTAAGATGAAAATAACGCCATCGGAAACATTGTTCATTTTTCATTGTAATGCTTTTCACTTGTTCGTGCGACATGGAAACGTTCCATTTTCGATGCAGATCACATTCCCCAGTTAAGTAATTAAAATTTTAGCGGTTGTGCAGTGATCTGAAAGTACTATGCAGGATTGCCCACGTGAAAAAGTTGTATACAAATCTATAGAACTGTATAGAGGAGTTTATAGACTCTATAGAATCTATAAGCCTCAATGTAATGACTGTATAGAATCCGAATAGAGGTCCATAGGACAAATAAATTTCCGAAATATAGGGATGCTGTTTATGCATCAACGTAGTATCCTCAGTATTATGCAACGTTTGACCAAGTTCCCTCAACTTTTAACCTATACATATCTGCTCTAATTACTGAAGCTATTGTCACGACATTAACTCTGCTCATAGACTACAGGATGTAATAAAAGTCAGAAATCATAGGGAAATAACATGGGGATCCTTTCCAGACAAGATTGTCTGAAAGGAACAAGCTAATCGAGCTGATTCAAAAACTCTTTTGTTCTCTTAATCTCGAAGTC